GTAGTTTCTGTAATAGGGGAATCAGTAAGAATTAAACCCTCTGCAAATACAAGGAAAAAGAGTTGTATAAAATTCTCTATGTTTGGAACACAGTTTCACAAGTTACAGACATGGAAAAATATCAGAAAACAACCTGATTTATTTGCCATCTGTGAAAAAAAAAAAAATTCTGTCACACAGTTCTCCAAAGCATTCAACATTTCTAGTGAAGAGAATAAAATAGCAGAAATACAGCTATTTCAAGAAACAATCACAAATCTTGAAATCTTAAAACCAACTTAAATTATGGATCCAAAGTAGGTTGATTCATTCAAGCCATCTGCTCTTTTATTGACACGAGAAAAAACCCCAAATAAATAGAAGTATTCAGAGCATGTTTATCTGATTTCTCCCACTTTTCCAAGTCCCACAGATACCTGCTCCCCATAGGTCAAAGGAGACAATAATGTAAATTTTGCTCTTCTTCAAAAACAAACAAACAAAAAAACCCTAACCCAAACCTATTATAAACCAGTACCAGTATTAATATTGCATATGAACATTGTTACATTACAGTCCTTCTATCATATGCAAAATAATGCTAAAAATGTGTGTTTATAGAGATATTTTCTTCAGAAGCAGAACCACTGTTTACACATGCAGAATGAAAAGAGCTACAATGCACACATTTGTGCTTTTCAATAGTTAAGCCAATGCATTCAAGCAGAGCATGTTTGGGATTGTAAATGTGTCAAGATTACCCAAACAACACTGGCAGCAATTCTTTACCCATTGTATTGCCATCAAACATGATCGTTATTTTACTTGGACAAAAAACATAATATACACACAGCAAAAACCCATTTTTATCTCACCTATATATACTATGTGTTTATCATAAAATGTTAGAATTAATATAGAGAACTCAAAGACAGTTGACACCTCCAGAAGGAATTAAAATGCAGGTTCTTGGGATAACTCCTATGCCAGTTTGCTCTTCCTTCCAACACAGTAATTTAAATAAATTTACATTAAGCACTGATATTCCTGAAAAGGCTTAAAAACAATTTAGACAATTACAGTGGAGTAATTCTCTCACAAAAAATCCCCAAAACAAACAAAACCAAACCTCTGAACGTGGGGACAAACCAGACAGTAGATGGTATTACCTTTAGATTGGACAGCCAAGTTCACAAAATAATTCTGCCCAAAATCTTTCAGTGTGGTATAAATACAAATGTTACATTTTAATTTCTTTCAGTACCTGCAGATGCTATAAAGCATCAGGTTGGCTATTTCTGTATCAGTAGGACTCTTCTACTAAAGAGACAACTTTTAGACATTTTCTAGAGTGGACATTCCTAAAGAATGCAGAATGCAACTGAGAGTATTCAAGCACAAAGCTGTGAAAAACAATGAATAAGAGTAAATATTGCCTGATTTAGCCCTGCTGTAACTCTAAGGAAAGCAGAGAGAACTCCATTAGCCCTGCAGCACCATCTCAATGAAATCATGCTCTTCAGTGCAAACCCATTTCCAACACCACCACAGTGCAAACCACTGTCCCCCATTCTGTGTCCTCAGTAAAAAACGTCCCATCTAGTGATGAGCACAAGAGACACTCTATTTCTGAACTTCCCTTGCAGAAGGGAATGTTTTACAAAAAGATGTGTCTCTGGCTATGTCGTTTCAGCAGCTCCCAAAGCAGAAAAGGGCAGGATTTACCCCCAGAGCATTTACTCTCAAACCTCAGGCCACCTGTCATGAGGGATTGCAACACACCAGAGGCACCACACTGCTTCACAAGACAGAATCTTGTCCCCTTGTAGTTAATTTTGCTTAAAAATCACAAATGTGTGGTGTTTGTTCCCTCTGTGCAGAAAAGAGATCAGGAAATGCCTCTGGGATTAACTCATCACCAGCTCTGGGATCAGCGTACTGGTGGAGATCTGCCACCTCCTTCGGGAATAGCCCAGTGGGCAGCAAATGGGACTGATAATGCCAAGCTCAAGGGTTCCATCCTTGGGTAGCCACTTTATCAAAATACAAATTTGATGGTTTTGGTGGGGCCCTTCTAACTCAGAAGTGCAGCGTAACAAAATGTGACTCAAGGTCTTGTAGCAGCACTGAATGCAACCATCAGAGCTCATCACAAATGGCGACCCACACATCATCTCTTCCACTGCTACGACTAAGTATCACTAGCAGGCTATCTCATGAGTAACAAGTGAATAACTGTTCCCCCAGGGGCCCGCCGAGGGCTGGGACTCTGCCCTGGGAACAGCAGAGGTGCGGCCATGCCTCACCTGGCACCGTCCCGTGTCGCTGTGGGCTCTCCCCAGCTGTGCTGAGGCCGTGTCCCGCTGGGGTGCGGCCGTGTCCCTCTGGGGTGCGGCCGTGTCCCGCTGGGGTGCTGGCCCCGGGCCGGCGCAGCCCCGCTGAGGGAACGGGCCCGAGCTCCCCCTCACGGACAGCCTTCCCCCCCGGCCCGCCAGGGGGCGGCCGCGGCCGCTCCTGGAGGGAGCCGAGTGAGCGCCTTGGAGCGTTGGCGCCGCTCCGCTTCCCTTTGATGACGTAGATCCTCTGTGGAGGGCCATGGCGAGTGATTTCTACCTCCGCTACTACGTGGGGCACAAGGGGAAATTCGGGCACGAGTTCCTCGAGTTCGAATTCCGGCCTGACGGTGAGAGCGGGGCGGGGGCCCGGGGGAGGTGTGCCGCGCTCCCCGAGGGCGGGCTGCCGGGCCGCGGGACCCCCGGCGGGGTTTAATGCGCAGCCTCTCCCCACAGGGAAGCTGCGCTACGCCAACAACAGCAACTACAAGAACGATGTGATGATCCGAAAGGAGGTGAGGGCAGCGCGGCCGAGGGCGTCTGTGCCAGCCAGAGGGACTGTGGGCAGGCCTCGGGGTTGGATGGCGTTGCCGGGGCGCTGTGGGCAGGGCTGTATTTATTTCTCTGCCGGAATGTTGTGTCCAGGCTTATGTGCACAAGAGTGTGATGGAGGAGCTGAAGAGAATAATCGACGACAGTGAAATCACAAAAGAAGATGATGCTCTGTGGCCTCCTCCTGACAGAGTGGGCCGACAGGTACGGTGCATAGTGTCTCTTCTAATTTGTCTTTAATTTTCATATGTTAACTCCTTGGAAACGTAACTAAACTTTTTCTTCAAGCCAGTATTTTTTTCCAGCTGAAAGGAAAAAAAAATACTGCTTTAAAACCTGAGTAATGCCTCAGTGGTAGTGTAGTTGTGGAAGCTAATACAATCCACAGACCTGCTGCATTTGATATCTCTGTAATAGAAATTTGTAATAAAAACCATCACATACTGAAATATTTCTGTCACTGGTACCATGAGGCAGTGAGTTCCTATAACCTTTTATTTTTCAGGAGCTCGAGATAGTAATTGGTGATGAGCACATCTCCTTCACCACGTCAAAAATCGGTTCCCTCATTGATGTAAATCAGTCCAAGTACGTACTCTGCTTTTTATGCTGCCCTTGTTTCTATTTACCAATCTGTATTAGAACTTTCTGGTTATTTGGTACACGTATTTTATATTGTTTAAAGTACGAGTCAGCTCCAGTGCTCTGTGTTGCAGCACAATGTGCCAGATGCCTTTAGTCTGTGGCGTTACAGGCTGTGTTCCCAAACTCAGAGAGCTGACCCTGCTGCAGGAGCCCTGTCACACACACAGAGTCTGAGCTGCCATTGGCCTGTTTGTGCTTCTTTGGGAGAATCAAGATATCTGTATTTCACCTAAGCTGAAAAGACTTGACTGTTGTGGGGAAGGGGCAGTGGGGGGTAAAATCCTGAGTGCTGTTGATACTTGTTTTCATGATAAAAATGTATATTTTGTAAAAACTTAAGATATTCACAGTTGGAGTACAGAATATTTAATCAGTCAGTGTAGAATGAAACAAATCTGTGTCTGTCTAAGATGATACCTAAAAAGTCCCCATATAGGCTTTAGGTTTTTTTTAATATATTGGTTCTGTAACCTGTTCTTTAAGAGCATCAGTCTAACATTTTTTTAAATATTTTAATTTTTTTTCTCCTCTTTCTTCCTTCTGTTGTGAACTGCAGAGATCCAGAAGGCTTGAGAGTATTCTACTACCTGGTCCAAGACCTTAAATGTCTCGTCTTCAGTCTTATTGGACTCCACTTCAAGATTAAGCCAATCTAAATCAGACAAACTGAAGTTTGTGTTGCAATGTTAGCAGTAGAGATGGGAAGGGAGGATCCTGTTCCAGTTCTTCATTGTTTCTGAAAGGTTTTTGTACTTTAGATTATTTTTTGATTGTTATTTTGTTGTTGTTACAAACTGTCAGTGACTCAATAAAAGGGTAAGATTTGCGTTTTTAATTTTTAAGCTGTGGTGAGAGACTGGCTTCTAATACTTTTTTTTTTATAACGGTGCATTCAGAATGTGTCACTTCACTTGCAGCACCACACACTGCACTTCTCTACACAGCAGTGCAAAAAGGAATGAAGTCAGGCTCTGTGAAACGAAACTTTTGCCAGTTGTCAAGGCAAACTTTTGTTACTGTCCTGAGCTGGGTATTCTGTTGGCCAGCCAAGGACAACATTTGACTCTGCACAGGTAAATGGTTATAGCAGACACACATCACCTCCCTCCCAGCCCGGGGTTACCCGCTTGCCTCCAGAGCAGACAAACAACAGGCCACCCAGGATCTTCACCGACCGTCCCATTCAGCTTCAGAGAAGCTGAAAAACAACCTAGAATGTATTTAGCTTAGTTCTAGGCTAGCAGATCTGTTGTGCAGCATTCGTTAAAAGATTTTTGAGGGGTCCCCCACAGGCCCTGAGGGCGTACACCATGGCAGTGCTGCCAAACCACGCTTTTACTTTCCCTTAACACGTCTGGTCTGTAAGAAGACGTTGCGACTTAAAAAAAAAAATTAAAAAAATTTTAAAAAGTGATTAATTTATGTGTAATGCTGAAAACAGTGCCTCCCGCTTTTCCTCCCCTCCCCACAGGCACCTCCCGCTCCCTGCGCGCTCGGTAGTGGCGGCCGCCATCTTGGCTGAGGGCAGACGCGGCTTCGCGCCGGCCCAGCCGGGCAGGGAGCGTCGAGGCGCCATCTTGGCTGAGGGCACGGGCGCGGGGAGCAGGGAACGGCACAGAACCGTGCGGCCATGGGGGTAGGTGAGAGCCTTGGCCGGAGCCCCGCGGGCCGTGGCGGTAGCGGAGAGCCTTGGCCGGAGCCCCGCGGGCCGTGGCGGTAGCGGGGAGCCTTGGCCGGAGCCCCGCGGGCCGTGGCGGTAGCGGGGAGCCGGGCCGGCCGGGGCTGACGGCGCTCCGCCGCTTGCCTTGCAGAGGATCGGGCTGCAGCTCCGCGCCACGCTGGAGAACATCACCCGGCTGCGGGCCGAGGGCGAGGACTTCCGATGGTACCTCAAGGTGCGGGGCCGGGAGCGGGGCCGGGAGCGGCGCGTGTCCCTCATTACTGACAGCTTTCAAACTCCCGATTTGTGTTCTCCAGCTGAAATGTGGGAACTGCGGTGAAGTCTCCGAAAAGTGGCAGTACCTGCGGCTGATGGTGCGTGTGCCCCTCGTAACCTACCTCTGAGCAAAAATGAGAACGCAAACCTGCCTCTTACACGCCTATCCGCATCAAGGATGTGACAGCTTACCCTCTAGATGAGATCGTTTTTTAATAGCTATATGCATTTAGAAAATTGTCGTGTTCCATATTAAAATAAATATTTGGAGACTGTTAATTGACAGATGCCATTTGAAGGGTGACTGTTGCTAACAAAGTATTACATATTTTAAAAACATTTCTGTGAATACGTATTTCTCTGTAGCCTATTTCTCTGATGCTGATGGAATCCTTTTGGAGAAGGTGAGGTAAATCAAGATTATTTAAGCATGCTAAATCAGCATTTGGAAGCTGAAAAAGCAGGATAAAATTTGTCAGGGATACTTGCCTGTTCTTAGCAATAATCATCCCTTTTTGTTGCATACAGCTGAATGGTAAGAATGTATTTTAAAGAATTAGTAGAGCATGCCTATAAGGATAAGACACAAGTATCTATTATTCCCTCTTTGAAGTCTAGAAGAGAAATATTCTTTGATAATCTCAGCTTGTTCAATTATTATTCCCTGTAGTTAAGAAAAACGCTGCCTTGTTGAAGTATTTTTAAAAAGCTAAAGGTTGTTGTAAAAACTACCTTACCTTTGCAGAGGTCTCCACAGGCTGAGCTGAAGTGGTTAAAAATGTCTCTCTTGCCATGGATTCTAGGACAGTGCTCCCCTGAAAGGCGGCCGAGGAAGCGCCACGATGGTGCAGAAGTGCAAGCTGTGCTCCAGGGAGAACTCCATCGGTACGTGCTCGGACACTGACCAGGCATCATCCATTTCACAGTTTCTCTTTCAGTCCCCATTTTTGCTTGACACCTTTTGTAAAGAGCTTTCACCAGGGATTTCTGCCCTTGTGCACTGGTGCTTGAGTTCCCAACAGGCACATTCTGGACATCCCGTTCAGGGAGACAGCAAGGCCTCCTGGTGAGTCCAGCCTTCTGCATGAACAAAACTCATCTGAATTGTTATTTTACAAAAGCATGCAAATCTTTTTGGCATTGGTATGGGAAAATGGTGCAGTGTAAACTTCTCAGGAGAAGGGAGAAAAATTGAATTCTACTTTTTGAAGAGAAAAGCTGTAGGGAAAACCTTGCACTTCTTGCATTTAATTTGCTTTGTATAAGGAAATTGCTGTGAAAGAAGATCCTGGTGCTTGGTTTGTGCTAAATAAAACTGAAGACATAGTGCCACTCACTTGTATACTTTTTTTTTTTGTTTTAGATATTTTAAGTCAGACAATCAAGCCTTACAATGTAAGTTTGTTTCCTCTTCTATGTAACAAGTGAAAGATAAACAAGCATTAAGAGTATTCTGAGTTTTTGCTTTTATCACCCTCCTTCAAGAACACCAAAAGCTGGTCTTGTCCCTGGACAGAAATTGTCTTGTAGACTTCTTTACAGCATAAGTGTAGACTAATTTGATACATTTCAAAAGCCAACACAGAACTGTATCACTCAAATTAGAGTTGATTATATAAGTCCCCTCCAGGTTTCCTTTTGAAGCCTTCCTGGCAGATTAAGAAATTCTAGTTAGTGACCACCCCTGAAATGAGCCCTAGGATTCTGCTGTCACCAGGGGCATCAGAGATGACAGTGCTGCCTTTGGAGCAATCCATTCCTAGACTAATGCTTGTCACTGTCTCTATTAGATGGAAACTAATGGTTTTCTGACTCAATCACAGGCTGAAGACAGCGAGAAATTCAAAACAATTGTGGAGTTTGAATGCCGAGGTCTGGAACCAGTTGACTTTCAACCACAGGTGAGTTCTTATTTGTGATTTGTTTCTGTTTTTAAAAGCACTTCTTCCAGAATGATAAACACTATTTGAAATGGTTCTGGAACATCTCAGACCTTCCCAGATTCCCATCCTTCCGCAGTTCCTGTTTTACTTCATTTGACTCAAGAAAAAAACCAAACCAAACAAAAAACTTGCCAAGAGCTAACACGAACAGCTGGAATTCTCTGTGCCAGTAAAATCTAGAGCTAAGCACACCCTGGAGTTGTACTTAACCTGCTTCCCAGGTGACTCAGTGTTAATCTGAATTCATCTGAGACGTCTTCACTGCTCAGGTCATTGCAAAAGAGAGTCTTTCCCAAAGGGAAAGTGCAGCATTAGGCAGAGCACCACTTGCCCCTTGCTGTATTACAGAGCTCATCAAGCTCAGTTATGAACACCTCAGTGTCCTCTAAAAAACAAAGAGATTTTCTTTGGGGTTGACATCACCAGAGCCAAAGGAGATGAACACTGGCATTTTTCCATTTGCAGCTTGAGCAGACAAAGCCTGAAGATCACTGGCAGTTACAGGCTGGTACAAAGCACACCTGAAGGTTCAGAGTGAAAGGATTCTTCAGGGCCAGTCTGCAGTGACTCATCTCTTGTGCATGGTCATGCTCTATGCCACTTAACTCCCTGCTATTTTTAACCTATTATTCCAGTCGGATTAGGTGTAAATAGACTGACAAATATAAACCTGTCTTATCCTTCCCTCAGACTGGGATGCTGTGCTAAGAAACAGCCCAAAAAAGCTGATCCTACAAAGAATTTGATAAAAATAGAATCCCTGCTGCAGTGTGCTGGGGGAGGTGTTTATTTAAGTGAAGTCCATCTTTTTGATGAATGGTTATTCCTTTATTCCATAATGGTTATTAGTTTATTCCTGCTTGAAAGCTTTGCAACCAGACTTAGGAACTTGCACTTCAAGAAAAGTCTAGAGGAAGACTATAAAATGTAGGAGATCTTTATAGCTCTGCATCCTAGCTGTCAATTTTATTTACAGAACAAATACTTCACAGCTGTAACAAAAGTTTTAATTTAATATTCTGAGTTTGGTGCACTTGACTGGAGAGTACTTGAATCCCTGAAGAGATATTTCAGTGAATTTTTGGATGCCTAAATCAGTAAATGAGAGTTTTCTGATGCTCAAGTGACTTCTGCAGTTCCAAACAATTTTGTCAACTGCTTTATATTTGGCATGATCCCAGCCAGCCTGGCTTCTGCACAAGCCTAAATCTCACTTTTGATTAGCACTGAACATGGCATGTGGCCATATAATCACTGTATTTTTGCTGTATTTTTTGGTACACATAATAGAACCACACCTGGAGTCAATTTAAAGTGGCTTAATGCTTGCATGTCTTATTTAAATTATAGTAGTTATAAAAAAAAAAACCCACCAAACCCAACCACCACCACAAAACATTTGAGTGTTAGAGAGGAGAAAGTATCCTTTGTTTCTCTGATATAAACCCTCATTTTAGTCCTAGGGCAGAAGTTACAATTGCAGTCACAGGGCTGGTGAATGGCTCCAGGTGGCAAAAGCAGGGCTTCTTTGATTTTTCTGGTGTTTGTTCTATACTCAGCTCAGTTTTGACCCACAATACAGATCGTCCTCTCCACCCCAGCAGTTCCCTTGACATGGGCTTTACTGAAAAGCCACTGTGCCCTGCAGATCCCTCTCCTGTTGTTAGATTTGTTAGATCTTCCACACTCTGTGGTTTACTTAACTCCCAAGTGCTTAACCTTCCATTCAAATCCCCAAATATTTTGAAGTCTTGTGGCTTATTTTGCACATTCTTGCAGCTAAATGTCTTACTAGCACTAGCGGGGATTTCTTTATCCAAAATGCAAGTGTAGATCCCTTACAGAAAACCAGAAAGAAGCTACCTTTGATTTTGAGCCAGTTGTTAATAAAATTCTGTAGTTAGACTTGACAGTGTAAGAAACCTTCCTGCATGCTACAGAAGTGGCTGGGATTTTTAAATGTACTTTTAAAATTAGTAAATCTTACTGTACAGCTTGGAAACGGTGAACCCTAAAGTGAGAGAGGTGTTCCTATGGAAGATAAACCACAGCACCTTCCTAGAGCTGTCCTTCCTCCACTCTTTAAAAACAGCAACAGTGATGGCAGTGAAGAACTGTCCCCTGTGCAGTGCTTGTTTGGGATACTAATCTGTTCACTCAGCCAGCTGATCCTCCTTACACATAAAGCTTGCTTGTCACTTGTGTACCTAAATCCAATACAAGCTGCTCCTTCTCTAGAGTGTCTTGGGCTCCAGTATTCAAGCCAGAACTATCAGCTTTCTTCCACATTTTCAATTACCTTCCTTGCAATGTATTATGAAGCTATTATGCCTGTGTGGACTCTGAACACAAAGCTATTAATAGTAATTGGATGCTGCTACATAAACGTAGAAACTAAGCTTTAACATTGCCTAGAATAGTTAGAAATACTTTTTTTTTTTTTCTGGGAAAAACAGAGGAGCAGTGTTCCCTCATTTTACTTGGTTCCTTGGATTGAATTTTCCCAATGCACAAGCAGGGTCCCAACCTTATACTGACCCCTATCTAGGAAAGAGTTTGCCCATTCTTTCTGCCTAATTTAAAAGAAATGCAATACATTTTTGTGCTGAGCTACCTTCTTTGGATGTTTCAATGATTATATTTATTATTTTGTCAGTACAATGTAATTTGAAAAACTTTCTGCAAATGTGTTTGCAGGCAGGGTTTGCTGCTGAAGGCGCAGAATCTGGCACACCTTTCAATGACATAAACTTGTTAGAAAAGGTATGTTGTCTTAGTTTCACTAGCAAAACTACTTACCTAGCTTGCTTTCCCCATGTCACTGCTCCAAAATACACACCCTAGACCGGTTTTGCTCTTCCTGTAGCCACAGGAAGGCCACAGATGGAGAGAGAAACTGAATCAAGTATGAACAACTAGCATTACTAACAGTGTCCTTTTAGAAGTATGGATTTGTTAACTTAGCAGCTGACAAAGATTTAAGTCACTCAGTAATTCCAGAGACCAAGAACCTGGAATACTAAATGGCTGTCTAGGAAGATCCCTGCCCACTGTCCTGTGCACAGAGTGGTTAAAAAGTAATATAGACACTGTCCTTCAAAGCTCAGGATAATGACACCAGCACTGCAAATCTTCTTGGGTGTGAGCAGGAATCTCAAGGTCACATCTGTTCCCTGGTATCCTACTTGGCAGGGATCTGCTTGTCTGCTTACCCACCTGACCAGGGTATTGTAAATGATAGATAATCCTTTCACCTGCCATGGCTGCTGTTTGTCCACTACAGGCTGGGAACTACATAAGAAAATAAACCCCAGCAATATACATATATAAAAACACTGAGACTGAAGCTCATTTTATTTCAGGTTAGTGATCTTGCTACTCTCAGCTGTTAAATTTTAACTTTCTACAGATATCTAAGACCCAAACTTTGAGTAACATTTAGTTCCAGCTTAAATTCCAGTCTGTGTGCATTCTGTTCTCTGTGACTAACACTGTGAAATCTTACTTCCTACAGGATTGGAATGACTATGATGAAAAAACAAAGGAATCTGTTGGAATCTATGAAGTTACCCATAAATTTGTAAAATGCTGAGGTTCATACCCCTAACAAGTTACGACATGGTTGTTGATGGAGGAACTGTAAACATCAGATACGCAGCTTCCTTGGAGTTACTGTTTTACATGGCCACACTTCAGAAATGGAAACCTAAGTTCACAGAATCATTTAGGTTGGAAATGATCTCCAAGATGGAGTTCAACCTTTGACCGACATCACTGAGTTGTACTTTCTGTCCCCAGCATGCCCTAATAAAGTATTTCCCATGGAGCACTTGGAGATGGCCTCAGTACAAACTGTAAATAGTACACATTGACTGAGCTGTGCCACGGCCTTAATGCTGTGGGGTTTGGGAATTACATGGTTGTGGTGGACTGTAGCTTAGCTAATGGATTGAGTAACTGCTTACACAACTTACAGCCTTAAAGGTTTTCATAGTTGGTCACCAGGAAGTACCTACATTTGATTGTCTAACACAAGCAAATAAAGTCTTCCCACTCACCACTCCTATCATGAGGAAATGGCTACCAGCACTAGTAAAGGCACTGTGTTAACTCTTCAAGGGAACAGCTACACCTTTAAGCAGATTTCTGCCACTTCAGGTAAAGACTGAGGTGAGTTTCCTGAGAATACTTACTAAGCTTGACTGCTGCTGACATTTACACAGTTACAGTCCTCTGAAAAGCTAGTTATCTTTCCAAATGTGTCATTAAGTAAAGCTCATTTTTGGGTGAAGACAGCCTTAGTACCCCTTGGCGAGTGCATTCACCATCTTGCCAGCTGTTCTCATGTTTCAAAACAAAACAAAAACACCCCACCAAACAAACCCAAAAAAGAAAAGAAAAAAGCTCAGCCAGTCTTTAGTGAATTTTATTCAGACTTTTGGTCTGATAATTGTTTCCTGATATGTTATTTCCTGCATCTTCCCAAATTATCACCTTCCTTCTTTGTTTAAATGAACAAAAACAACCATGCTAAATTTTAAAGTCAGTTTTAAAATACGGCTTTTCAGCTGAAAACTACAACATTACAAGAGCAAAGCCTTCAGGCTTACATATGAAAGGCTTTCACCTGCTAGCACTTTTATTTCATACTTCCAGGACAGGGTATTGCTTACACTTACTGTGCTAAATGAAAAAGACCCTGGGGGAACCTGGAAACTGAGATACCCAAAGGAAGAGCAAAGGGAAGTAGTTTCTGAGCCTCTCAACCTGATCTTTCACATCCAACCAATATGCTCAGACTTTCCTGTTCTGCTGATACATTTTGTTGTCCATGCCAGTGGGACACGAGCTGCATTAGTCTTACACAGATCACAGAAGGCAACACCATTGTGCAATTCAGCTCCACAGAAAGACTTGGCCTCCCAGAAGAAGAGTGGAAATCAAGAGGGTAAAAGAGAGGAATTCAAGATCTACATACCAGACAGAGTGCAGAATGTTTGCAGCAGTTTTCTTTCCAACCTTTGTAAGAAACATGAGCTATTGACAAAGGGTCTCCCCTTGCTGCATGATTTAGATATGGCAATAAAAGAACTTCGTGGTTATTAATAGGCAGCTTTATTAAAATACAGTTGTTTCCAGTGAGTTTAACAACCTAGTTGGTGACTGCAGGTTTCTTAAAGCCTCCCACTTCATTTTTTGTGTCTCTAAAAGCTGTTATAGTGGAAAGGCTTCAAGCAGTTGAGGCACAATCAGTTCTGATATAAATTCAAGTTTAAAGAGGTAAGTTAGTAAGCAAGCTTACTGCAAGAGTGCAAATGGAACCACTCTTCCATGTTTAAAATTATTGCATGTATTTTTTTAAAACCAAACAGTTCAAGAGTGGTATCACAGTACTGTAGTCTGTCCGAACATTCACGGAACACAGATGTTCCAAGTTCATTAACTCAATAAAAATGCCTATTTTAGATTATGTGTTTTAAGAACACATGGATCTATTACTTAATTTGATGTAGTTAATGTCTGTATTTCCTGAAATGCATTCAAGGTCTGTAATTGATTTCTTTGAAATAGATAGAAATTTCCTAGTGAATTTAACAGTATTCAAGTTCAGTGATGATATATGAACCCAGTTAGGCTGGGCAATCTCATCCATGTTGAACACTGATTAGTATGTCAGACATAATCTGCATTTTTTTCTGCAACTGTAAAGTGTTCCAATGTCTTAATGTCTAACTCCCAATTTTCTTGCCCTTTAAAACATTAAAGATATCTTCTAGTGACTTGTATATACACTGAAGGTATTCTTTACCATTCCTAGCTGGGTAAGAGGAAACATTACAACCTATCCAGTCATCTTGTACCTGATACCCTACTCCAAAGCCATCAGACACCACGGGGCCAAACCCTCCTAACTGCACAGCCGGGCTCACCAAGGTGCTGGTGGAAATGATGTTGTGATTGAGGCGAGCGTAGGCTTGGTCTTGATAGAATTCCGGCAGTGCCAGCCCCTTGGACAAGGCCAGATAGCGCAGGCTGAAGAGGTGCCGGTCAAAGCCCTGGCCTGGAGAAAGAAAGTAACAGATGTGAGAGAGGTGCCTGACTTCTGTGGGAAGTAAACTCACCTCAGCCACAAAAGAGGAGGTCTGTAGAACTGGAGTTTATTTTTGTACTGATAGGAAATATTTTTCAGGCTTTTCATGCCCATGTCCTAGGAGAACAGGGCCTGCTTGTTTTACTGCAAGGCTCAACAGGAGCAGGAGAGTACAATCAGCATTAAAATTCTGAGTTGTAAATATTTACAGCAACCTTACCAGACATTTTAGTGCAGAAGGAGGAGCATTTGATGCATTCCTACTTACCCATAGCAGCCTCTTTCGTCAAACGGCCGTGGTACTTGGAGCACTCCACTATCAGGTTCTGCAGCTCTTCAGTGCTGTGTTTGGAGAGTCCCTTGACAAAGGCTTCAGAGCATTTCTTTGTGTGGACAGAGGCAGGCCGTATGGTTTCTGTGCGGCCGTGCTTGAAAGCTGCAGTGCTGCAGGACTCGTACGTGGCAACAGTCTGGTCGTACTGGCGAAGGAAAGCCATCTGGAAGGCCAGCTGAGCCACAGCATCTGGGCTCACCTTCTTCTGCTTTAGCAGCTCCTTGCCCCCTTCTTGGAACTGAATCATGTTAAGAGACAGTGATTCTATAGTGGCTTCAAACTTCTGTTTGGCTTTGGTAATCCCTGCTTTTAAGGCATCGTTCAGCTTAAAGTCAAGTTTCTGCACTGCTCTGGAAGAGTCAACTGAAGCAGGCTGGGACTGGGGGCTGATGGCTGGTGTCGTGGTGCTATCTTTAAAAACCTCATTCTGGAACCTGAGCACAGCCACACCATCTCCCCAGGAATGTTCAAAATTAATCCCTGCAGTGCCATCCTTAGTTATGATAAGACTAAAGGATTTGTCATACCAGCGGTTTGCACCATCTCCATGCAACATAGTGTGGGACAAGTGCACTAAGTCTTTAATGGGAAAATCATCTAAACATAAACAAAACATAGCAGAGTCTACTTTTTGAAGAGCTTCTTCATTGCCATTGTCCAGTAGATTCTTCCTCAGCAATGCCCATGTATCTCGGTTTTCACTGGTGAGGTAGCCAAGAGGGAAGGCCGGGGCCGGACTGTTGTCACTAAGGATGTATTTCAAGTGTGCGTGTATTTCTGAGGGTTTCAGCATGTTTCCATCTCTATCAATAACATCAAACACATAAAAATTTCCATTTCTCAACACTAATAAATGTTTTGCCTTTTCATCTGTATAAAGCTCATCTTTGTCAAGCTTAGGAAGCCGTGTAGAATTGAAAAGCCTGAAGTACTGAGACATATCTAGGGGGTAAGCATTGACCATGTAGGCACCAAACCAAGAAATTGAAGAAGGCACAAATCGGATAATTTTTTTAAAGATCTCAGTGTCACTTTTTTCTGGATTGAGGTGAAAAACCTCTGGCTCAAGGTAACCAGCCCTGAAGGTCTTCATAAAACGTATGGCAGAAACAGTCATGTTTGTAGCCCGTATGAGCTGATCGTTGTATTCCGATTTCGGATCAGGATTAAAAGACATAAATGGATTAAAATTCAAAAGAACAGGCTCACGTGCTTTGAGGTACATGTCAAACCAGGGACCTGAAAATTGAGAGTTCAGAAAGAGGTCAGAACATAAAAGCATCTTCCTGAGTCAGAAAAGAGGGTCATGTAGTCCAACAGTGATCATGAATCACACACACTGAGGTGCCTTTAAACAAGACAAACATATGAAATAATTCACCCAAGGCTTCTCCAAACCCCCATTATGAAGAAGGATAGTGTTGGCTAATGATAAAAATACTGGGTTTGGAATAATCCATGTCAAGGGTGTCCATGTCATTAGCAACAAGGGCCAACTCCCTATTTTCTTTATGGCTCAATGATAAACCTTAACTCCCAGGACATACAGTGCAGCTCCCCAGCTCTATTTTGGTGCATACTTACATTTGGAGTGGTTCATGCCTTTACCTACTCTTACACTATTAATTTCTGCAACTCTCTGTCACTGAGTGCATCTTGCTGAGGTTAGAAGGCTGAACCTTCGACCTGGACTGTAAGAAAGGCAATGGGCAGTTCCAGGGGCTAAGTTACAACTTTAATTACAGGTTCTTACAGGTAAGTAAGTAACACTCCTACAGTTTTAAAACCACATATGTCATCAACACGTAGCCTTTTAAACACAGACTTGAAAGTCCAGGGTGGAGACAACTCTACGTACTTTCAGAAACCAATTTCAAGTGGAACAGGTCTTTTATAAGGCATAAAGAAGAAAAATAACTGAGCAAAAAGCAATACAGACACCCCACCATTCACAAACAAAAAGCAGCATACTGGTTAGCACTGATGAACAACATAAAGCCACGACCCAAGATGTTGTTCAAAGTGAATGGAAAGTAAAGTACAACAAACCAAAGAGCAGTTTTTGTGAAATAATGTGGTATTTTCTGCAGACTGAGTGGCAGCTAACACCTTAACAGGCAGTCTGAACACACAGCAGGGACAGAAGTGCATTCACTGGGCAACATGGAAACTTCTACTTCCATAGGCATTTGACTATTTCCATCTCTGCTGCTATCGAATACTTTCATGAGCAGACACTTGTACATGGAAGCAATACTAAAGCAGAATAATCAAAAGTAAGAATAATCTATACACATGCTCTCCCTCTCCTGATTTGTTTCTATTTATTCTCGTTTTCCTATTACTATCACTCCTTTACTTTGGCTCCTTAAAAGAATATAGTTTTGTAGTTTTAAGGGCT